AAGCTGAAAGAGAGACGGATACGAGTGATTTATTATCAGCTGAATCGCCATTGGTAACGCGAAAATAATAGACGGCAGTTTCTTTTCTAACGTCGTCCGATTCCCCTTTCCTTTCTTTCTCGGGCAACACGGAATATCGATTGCATTTCCCTGGAAAAGCATTAACGTACTTGCTGAATTATTATGTGATCGGAGAGCCTGGCTCCAGACCTCAACGCCCGAGAGCCCGGGACCATTGCAGTCATCGGCTGCAGCGATTCGACTTCGAATTAGTGTTTCACTCTAAATTGAGCGGCGTTTTTGTAAGGCCCGGGACCTAATTGCGGAACGGCGGTAAATTTTTTGACGGACCGCTCCCATGAAAAATCACTCGTCAGATATACAATACTCGCCTCTGTAGGGGCCAGTCATCGTGAATCAACGGCTAAGAACCATATGTTGCTGACCGACTCTGCGCTATGGAGTCATTGAGAAAACGGTTGTAATGAGAGAGACCACCCAATGAGTACTTCGTGCCGATCGGCAAATCAACGGAAACTCGAGTCAAAAACCCCCTCATTATGCGCTTCATTATTTCGCAGGTGCAATCCACCGGCGCATAATCGATCCTCCCGTCTCTTGATATTCAGACATGGACTGTTTGCATATCATCCTTAAAATTACTCTGACGTGTGAACTGTGAATATATAATGCTTATAATTAACCGACGGAACTACTTATTAAGTTATTTGCATGCTAATAAATAATTGAATGTTTTCTTCTTATTCTCTCGCCCTTTTTATATCAGAAATCTTAACAGAGAGCATACCTGCCCGATCATTTTTCTACCTTCGAACTCACCCCCTCGAATTTCACGTAAGCTGCCCGTTAATGGACCACGAAACTATTCGCCGTAGAAGCGAATTGCAACGCGAGATATCTTCGTAGATGTCTTTACCTGTAAAATATCTTTGCAATATTTTTGACAAACGCGCGCTTATGATAGCGCGAGCACGTATTGTGGATCACGAAATAGAATTGTGCCGGTATTTGGGCCTGAAATTTCTCTACCTGACTCGGACTGAGAAAAGAGAGGTATTATAGACGCAGTAAAGCACTAAAACAGCCGAATAGTTCTACAGGCCCCACGGCCTCTGCGCCGTAAGTGGACATTAGCGCCCGCATTGTGAAACGGACCGCATCGTCCTTAACTGATGGGAGTCCCGAACAAAGGAAGTTTAGTTTACGTCGCGCGATCCTGAATATTACATACGCGGCAAATGAAAATAATTCGTTCAATTAAGATACACATGCATCTGCGCGTTTCGCGTTCACACTATTCAACATTCAGACGCAGCCAGCGTTATTAATAATAACACTTTCTGCGAAATTAAATTAACATCGCGTGCGAGATCACGTCCCGGCCGATGACACCCATCAATAGTAACAAGCGAAATTGAAAGAGAGACCCGCGAGTACTATAAGCCGTCTTGATTTAACTATCCAGCGTATCCTGTACACTTCGGCGCCTATGCCTCCGCGTGTACGCATATAGAAGCTGCGTTTTACGCTTCGTGGATATTTTCGGGCCTTCTTAGCTCCTTGCCCCACTCGGCCGACAGTGGGGGGATTAACCATCGACCGACAGCGCTATTGGTTACCGGATTGCGTCTCCCAATGGGTAAAGGCACGAGAGGAATTCATCGTGGATTTATCGAAGAGACGACGATCCTCGAGGAACGTTAGGACCTCGCGAGATTGGCTTGCGCTAAAGTGCAACATTCCACTGCGGTGCAACAAAATGTCTCGGTAGCGACTTGCTCCAATTAAACGTCGGTTTATTCCAATGTTATTCACTTTCGACGCGTACACTTTGATGAGTTAACAGCGCGAGTCTCAAATAAAATCTGTTCGCGTCCTCTAAAATTGAGGCGCGACTTTCTAATCGTAGTTTCACTTGAAATTTGTATTCGCGTCTAAAGTGACCAAGTATTTCGTGAAATATTCGAGCATTACTTGAAGAATTCCGAAGACTGGCACATTTTGTAATGGGACACCTGTCTTGAAAACGCACAAATCGGGAGAATCGATGCCAAATAATTATCACATTTTGCACGGATGTGTAAGATATTTGTTTCCCTGAAATTAGATTGGTTCCTGTTCTGTGATTCCTATTTCAGACGCTCTGCAGAAGAGCAATCTGCTTCCGTTTTCTCGCTTTCTTTCATTTCTTCCTTCTCCTTCAGAAGATAATTCTCCTAACTAAATAATTTCCGGGCGTCCTCGGGCTTTCTCACGCCGGGCCGGCGCGCGGGAGGCATGTTGTCGAGCGCGAGACTTGCACGTTCACAGATCAAACAAGTGTAAAGAGGCAGCAGGAGAAAGATTCGCTGCACATTCACACCACCGCGCGTCCTGTCGCCCCTCGTCAAACACCATCGGGTTCGACGCGCGCGGGAGATCCTTATCTCGAATCAAAGATGCAAAATCGTGGCTCAAGAGGCAAGGAAGGCCTTTTCTCGGGACGCGTTATTTTAAAAGAATTTCGAGATTTATGACAACGCGATTATTCCTATCCTCAGTTTGCGGCTATTTAACTTTACCAGAGATCGTTGATCGACTTCCCGATGGGCATTGGTCGAAATTGCATTTGCATAAAAAGTAAAACTACTCTTTTCCAAGAAAACTGTCTGCCCGAGCAACGAAAAAAGACAAGACATACATGTAACTTTTAATGAGACTTGACTTAACTTTTAACAAGGCGCAATTCGTTAGACGAATACGATATAATACGATATAATACGTATATATCGTAAAAAAGAGAAGGTTGTCTAACGAAGAATTTGAAGTCATTTGCGTCTTGTTAAAAGTTAAGTCAAGTCTCATTAAAAGTTTGGTTTGTCTTAATTTTATCCGTTCTAGAATCAATGCGCTTTTCAATCTACGAGATAAAATGACGTCTTCTACAAGGTAAAGTTATTTGAACAAAGATGTTTGAATTGATCCTCTCCAATCACACGCACTGATCTTTTTTTAAATAAATTAAAGTTGACTGTGAAATTAATTCTTCACGTTGATGACAATTTTGAAGAATTGAAAGCACAAAAAGCATAAAAACAAAATAACACGAAGATAAAAGACGCGGAAAAGCTAATTCCAGACAAATGTTGGATTTAACGATGACCCGTACGATACGTGACGTGCACTAAATGTAATAAAAAAAACTGACATTAATAAAAAGTGTGACGGAAAATGTGACGTTACAACCTCGTGCATTTTGCCGAGGAAATAACTCTTCGTTATTTGTCCAGGGTGAGAAGGTAAATCAAATCTACTATCGTCTATTATTCAATATTTTCAGGTACGTACCATCCAGTATTTCACGTATCGTTTGTCATGCGCGAAAGACGCGGCGGAGGTAGGCGTTGTAAGAGGACGCTGATTAATAATTCGGCAACAAACAGATTTCGTGCGTGTAGATACACCGAGCGGTCGCACATGCGTTACCTACGGTCCCACTAAAAAAACAGGTTCCGAAAGAACCTGACCGAAAGTAAGTGACTATTAACGGTGGAATAGCTTTATAAAAATTTATCATCCCTGGGCTTAATAGTCCGTTCGAAGGACGGAGTATCTCGGTCGGCGATGCCGATAATAAAATACCAATGAACGGAGTGAAAGAGGTTCTCCCCTACCTCCGCTAGCCCGAGCCCCCTCCGCGCTCGCGGGCCCGTGAAGAAGCGGCACACACCGATTTTACACGCTAATCCCTCCTACGTACGCATTGGTACCTGTCAAAAAATGGCGTTGGGGTGTAGGAATATATCCCGGGATGGAGGAGATGGGCGATCTCTAACAGAAGTTAACCACGGCGCAGCAGGGCTGCGAGTGGCCAGTTTCAATGGACAAAGGTGTAGAACCTCTGTCAGACTTTCAAAACAATGTATGCTAATAGTCGGTTACTAGTAAAGAAATATTCCAGTTGTATATAACAAAAGTTCGCTTATCATAAATGAAAGAGTATTATGTCTCGATTCTCAATCCTGGTGATTTTGTCTAAATTAACAGTGCTCTTCACAAATGCTTTTATATACTTTTTTTTATTTCACTTAAATCCGATATTTCTCTTCTTTTGGTAAATATGATTATTTGCAAATTTATGCCAGCCAATAAATTTTCAGAATGGAACTATTATCCGTTCCGCAATATCCGATACGATATTCTTTTACGTAATTATTCACCCGTTCAATTATTATTTCTACTTGTATGTCGTAAGAGTTGTAAAATAACTTTGAATAAATAATTACGTTATTGTTGCAGCCAAGAGCAAAATTTTTTGAAAGAATTTATGCCATTCGATTTAAGATATGACGGTCTACGCCAGTGAAGCAGGTCAGTATTGCTGTAAGGATTTCGAAGAGGACAAAGAGATCCTTTCCTTTCCCCATCCTTTTTCTTACTTCAAGAACCTCCCTCTTCTGCCATGCCTTGGCAGACCCGTCATTGCATTAATGTAAGCGCGGCCGCGTCGCGCCACCAAACAACGCAATGGTGAGCTGCAGCTGTCGGATGCTCGCCCTTCACGTAGCTAATGCTTCTCCAAATACAACGCGCAGTACCTCGAGGTACTGTCGAAAATATAGGATGCGCAGGTATATGCGACATAAAAAATTGTAAACTTTTAAATTACATTTGAACTAAATTTCCTCGTTTGCCGCTGAATCTGTTTAATTTTCGTCAAACGGGTAAAATTATAATAATTATTTAATAAACAAGAGGAACTTACACACACAATTATGTCGATATTTTTCTAAAAAAAATTAATTACAAAATTATATATATATATATAAAATTTATAAAAGTCACGAAATGTATTAGAATTGGTTATTAACTCGAAAAATTGTGTATTTTATATTACACTTAAACTGTAAATTATGTAGAAATTTATTATTATATTACGTAAATTATATAATAAATGTTTGTATAAAATATGTATAATTTTACAGTATATGTTCTATATAATATACAAAATACAAATATATATTTTATAAAACTATCTGTTCATTTTTACCAAAGCAGAACAGTAAATCTTTAGATGCATTTAAATTTGAACTAAATATAATATTATCTACATTATTAATGCAATCTATATTCTAATTGATATGAAATATCAGTGCTGCAATAAACTTTCAATATCTGTAACACTTTCTTTTTTTGGACACTTTAGAGGTTCGTTAACGCCATTGTCGCGACTCACGTTTGCGGCGATTCTTTCCTTCCCGGCGAATTAAGGCGATGCCATCGCGGTAGACCGATCGTTTGTGTACTTTTTGTTTAGTACGCATCGTTCTCAGCTTCGAGATGCATTCCATCGACAAAGAATTTCGCCATTAAGTGCACTAAAAGCGAATTAAAACAGTCAATTGTTGACTGCGTATGATGATATGCATCTTTTCATTTACCAAAGTGTAAAATCGATATAATGAATAGGTGAAGCAAATAATCTACGACTGCAAAAATCGTGCCAGAGTGATTCAGTTGTTCTCTCTCTTATTATTAGAAAGGTGTGTGACAATTTACAGAAGTGCGAATAAGACAGAAGCAAATTCGTATATCGACCAACGCAGTGCTGTGCAGTTGCACGTGATAGATATTTAGACTTTTATTATTTTGAAGCGTCAAGTTGCGTCGAGCAGCATCACGATTAATCTACTTACAACGATCGCCGATCTTGTAGGTACGCACAGATTCACTAACTGCAGATCGTTGCGACTCTCATGCAGCGTGACTCTTCCGTTTAATTTTCCCTGAAAGGCCATCAAACTCTTAATACGGAAAAACATTTATTAGTCGTCGTACTAACATTTTCAGATCGTTTGTAAAACGTTATATTGCTTTTTGTTTATATCAATATTAAATAATATTTTTCACGTCAGTAATTATTATTTCTTCGAGCACGAAATGCGAGTTAATTAATAACACATTAGCTCTCAGCCACGAGTTTTGTTCCCGATTTATCAATATTTTTTTTATTTCCTTCGCCGTTATTTCTCTGGTAGATTTTGTCATTTTTATACTTTATTGAGGCCTAACACTAACATAATGTTCAGGATTAACGAAATATTTTAAGTCTTAATTTGATTTGCAACTCATTGTTGCCTAAAAAGAAGGTTGTAATTATTATTAACAAGTAGATTTTAATTGTAAAAATAAAGATTTGTCTAATTTGCACGAACGATAATTGTTCGAGACCGAAATTCATGCGGTGAAACAAGATCTGCGGCGGGTACCCATCGTCATAGAAGAGAGGAAAATAAAAATGAAAGAAACTGAAGATAAAAGCAACAAGATTGAAGGACAGGGGCAGGTACTTGCAGACTTTCGAATAGTCTGTACTAATGATCTAACCACGTGGGGTGCATCAACGCTCCGGTCGGATCGTGTAGCCTGGCTAAGTGAAAATGCGCGTAGATTCTTCGAAGATACAAGCCTCACCGCCGATCCCGTCGTCGTGCTGTCTGTTCTCTCTCTCTCTCTCTCTCTCTCTCTCTCTCTCTCTCTCGCGCGCGCGCGCGCCCTCTATAGAATAAACAATAAAAACAAATAAAAATTACACAAATATACCAGATACAGACATCCGATGTTCTCTGCAAATTCTATTGAGAATTCCGAGAATCTCTTGCTTCTTTTTCACCAGTTGAACAAATGTATAAGTCACTTCACCTTTGCCTTTATATGTACATGAACGTGCTTTTTCTCGATCATCTTTCTCTACAACTTTCCATTTATTGAACGATGAGAAAATATTCCGGTTCCCTTTTACTTCTCTCTCTCTCTCTCTTTCTCTTTGGCTCTTAATTTTCTCTCTTTTCAAATCCACTGAATCCATCGTCCAATTAAACTGAACAGAGTGTCCATCCATAGGCACTCCGAATTTTTTCCATTGTTAAAACACTGTTGCAGATTACCCTGCAAAGTTAAGACCTTCAGGAGCCTCGTCGTTTCACGAATCACGCACACGTCCGTCTCCCATCACCGTGATTGCGGATACGATCGAAACCGTGCGATTTTCCGCCGGAGCGAGTCGCGCGTACGCGACTCGCGCAGCATTGACTTAATTCGAAGGGCGCTGCGTTAATAACGTCAAGGTACAAAATAATAGACAGTGAAAAGGGAGCAAGTGGCTGCGGCGCAGAAGTAGGGCGCGGAAAAGCAGGGCACGGAGGAAGAGCTCGGCATGAGTATCGCGTCAAAGCCGAGCAATAATAACGGATCGCTCTCTCCCACCGCGTTTTCCCTTAACCTCCCTTTCTGAACAGTTGCAACATGTGGTTACCGGCGAGGCGTCCCTCTGGAACCGTCGGATTGCTTTTCTAAGGGCGCTTCTTCAAGCCGATTCATTTATGTACCGGCGTGATGTCACACGTTGCTTAGCGCAATCATTTGTTAATATTAGGAATATTGTTAATGTTATAATTAATCAATGCTAATGTCCCTTCGAGGCGTTAGCTCGTAATTAACCGTTGACGACGGGTGCGTGATGTAATGTACGTGTGTGTTTACGCTCTCCTTTTTTCCGGTGTCGCCGCCAGATGCGCGCGTGCACATGCACGTTGTATTTTACGTCATACAAATAAACGCGATACAATGATGAATCTAAGGGATGATTGGCAGGAAAAAAGAGAGAGAGAGAGAGGAGAGAGAATGGGGGGGGGGGGGAGAGTTGAGGAGTCACGCAACGAGCACAAATGTATCTACGTGATGCACAACCCCTGTCCATGGATTATCGCGATCAGCTCGCACACTCTTTCGTGGAAAACGGGATCATGCAAGCCGCAAAGTAAAATTTCAGTTGTGACAGTTGCTGTACAAAAGCAAAACGTGACCATGAAAAGGGAGCAGTGTATCGAAACGAGGCAGTAATGTATGACGCATCATTTGTACGAAATTTCTTCTCTCGGAATATTCCACGTTCATTTAAACGGAATAGTTTTATGAAAGTTATATTTACAGTGTAACGAAGTGTCGTTAAAAATTCAAAAATAATCCCTCTGAAAGTTCAACATAAGCGCTGAGAGGGGAGAGACGGATATTGTACGACTGAATGATTTTCACAGGGCTGCCATCGCGCCCCTTGATATTTTGTAAAATAACAATTTGAAATTAGAAAACGCATATCATCTCCAAATATTTCACGGAAGTTTTGGACACGTGTGCAATTGCTGTGCGCGACAATTGTGCGGGATGCAAGATAAAAACGCGGAGTTAAAGCGGAATTCTGTTGGCGCGATGGAGATGGGAGGGAAGGGTTATTTGTAATCTATTAATAAATTACCGGGCTGGTTAATTATAAAGTATAAATATGCGTTTTACGGTGCTTAGTAAGAAAGTGAAACAAGTTTCACCCGGCGAATACCAACGGTAACATTTGCAGGCGGCAACGCGCGGATACCTACGTCGGCGATAACGCAAAATTGCGCTCGGTGCCGATATGTCAGCAACGACGAAAGTCGTTTCTCCACGCTCGGACACGTGTACTTAATTTAATTGACCCATAATTACATCTACCGATAAGACTCGGCCCAGATGCCCCGGGCGTTTTTCCGTGCATTCGTGCAACTCGATTAAACGAAGCTACGTACATATTGCGGCTGATAAGTTGTACGCTTAGAGGGGGATTAGAACTTGGCAAGTTTCATGCGGAACGCATTAATGCCGCTACGGAGAATTCCCAACTCCGAGAGAATTCCAAAGTACAAATACCAATATAATATCACTAAATGTTATATATTTTGTCTCACTTTCCTTCCTGGAATTTGCATAACGGCATTGCTTTTGACATTATTCCATTCGTTGCATTGTTATTGCAAAAGCCTGCTCGTAATAAGATGCAAAATTAAGTCGCGCGAACTCTGCCCGGCACCACGTGTACGCGGCAGTTTTACGGCAGCCCGGCATTGCGGTCGTAACCGAGAAAAATGGCGAACAACGGTGATTTGTCGCGCGAGATGAGAAAAGGCAGAAGTGATTAAACCGAGCGATGCGACGAGCCCGATGCGAGAGAGGCGTTTAGTCGCATTAGCGCCGCTGCGAAATCGCCATGGCCCGCGTCCACAATCAGTCGCGATCGGCGCAACGGTCCAATGCGCTCGCGCCCGCGCCGTCCTTAATTACAATCGCAAATGAGACGGCGAACGGATAATTGCTGCGCATGTCGCAAGTCGCTACAATGTTGTCCAGCGGGTATCCCCTGCATCCCCTCGCTGAAACGATCCCGCGCGTAAGGAATATTATGTATGTGCAACTGGAAAGTGCATTCCGACATAGACTTGGGATATTTATTGGGCCACGCGACGCCGGCGATAATTTAATTGAGTCCGATGGCACAATTAATTAATGCATCAGTTCTTACGCACAAATGTGCTTCGTCGAATACAAACGTTACTAACTGTATCCATCGTGACGTAAGAAGTGTAAAAGATGTTGTATGAAATTTTTACTGGATTAAATGTGTAAGCAAAAATTCACATCATTGTATTAATATTTTCATACCAGCAATAAACTTTAAAGTTGTACTCTTGCACTTGTAATTAATTACGGTTTATGCACGCCATTAAATACATTAAGTTATAATATAATTTATGTACAGAGAAACACTCTGCGAGTTTGGCGAGATCGTTTTTTAACCGATTACACGTGGCATGACATTTTTTGTCGTGCGAATATTGCGAGAATATTTTCTCGCATGTTTTGTTATTTTCGTATGAGACAAGATCCGTTGACATTTATCGTGATATTCCGGTAAACTTCCATCTTAAGAAAACATCTGTACGTTTTATATTAAGAAACTCAGACTCTTCTTTCAGCAATATGCTATTAATAACCTGCCTCTGCGCGCGCGCGCGCGCGCGCGTATATTCCCGATAATAGCGAAAAAAACATGGTTCCCTCTGCAAATAATATAATAATGTATTCTCCCCGTGACATTATTGAAAAATAAAAATAATACCGTCGGCCTATATATGGTGCAAATATCCAAGGTCGATTAAACACCTGACCGCTAATTTCCGTCTTTAATGGCCGCAAAATGCGTCACATGGAAAGTGTATAAAATCGACGATAGACTCTTTATTATCGCGCCTCATTATCATTTACGCGTACCGCGATCGCTTACACGAAAAGTACATTCCCACGGTTGCAGCCCATCGATCAATGCGTCTACCGGCGGACACTTCGCGGCGCTGACTTCCGCGTTTAACTACCGTCTATATTTAGACATTTGCCACGACGGAGAGATTTCTCTCGTGGACCGCCATAAAATAATACACTGTAATTAGACACGCAGCATTCGCGCAGAAATTTCACTCGCCGCGTTGCGTCTCGATTTGTGCACTATTGCCCTCGATACCCCGGCATCTCGTGCCACTAAATCTTCCGTTCCATTATACCATCGTTATTATTATCGCTATTATATTTGGATGCGGGCAGATTGGATAAAATTTCCGATATTTTCACGTCGTCGCGCATACAATTTCTAATTAATCTCGGCTGCTTTGTGCTTTAGAACGCCGACGCTCGATCGATCACGTTGTAATAGATTTCTGTTAGCGCTTTCCCTCGCCATACAATTGCATTTGCATTTAGCATCTGTCGACGTTTCTATGGAATAAATGCATTCTACCGTCCGTAAAACGTATTTGCGAAATTCTAAAAGTTTGCACTTGCTTAAGCGCACAGTTATTGCAACATTAGATAAGACGTACGATAACAATTGTGATAAAACATAACGTAAATTGCAAAATACAAA